AAAATTTTAAGCATAGAAAAAAAAAAACAACTAAACTCAGGTCTCTCTCTTGTACAACACCCCCAAAGATGTGACATATTAAAAAGCATACATGTAATGCTGTGGAAACATATGCGTCAGTGTAGGCACATGACATGCAACAGTGAGCACATGTACACATCTCATTTAAGACAAGGCTACGAAAAAGCTAAGTGTGCACGCAAAGATATGACACATGAATGCAGGTGCACGTGCAGTCATCAATAAAAATGCAAATGTGTGTAAAAATATTCATCATGAACACACACACACACACACACACGTGCATGTAAGTGTGCCATGCAAACACAGCCCACATGTAAAGACACAACATGCTGGCACAGCCTGCACCTATGCAGATCTAAGTGTGAATTCGAAATGCAATACGGAGACATAAATGGCATATTATATGCAATATGCAAACACAAGAATGCGGTAAAGATACCCCATTCAAACAAACACACAGGGGCTGGGGAGACAGCTCAGTGGCTTAAGCGCCTCCCTGGCAAGCACAAGGTCCTGAGTTCAACCCTTGGTACGAATAAATAAAGAAGTAAATAAAATTTTAACAAACACACAGAGGACCTCCACTTGTGAGCACAGCCATGCATGTAGACATCTGATGTGCAAATGGAAGCAGACCTGGCCAGGCCCCCATCTGTCTAACACACGCCATGCACACCACACATCCCTTCTACACTTACACTCTCTCTGGACAATTGTCGGGCTGGTCCAGGTACCCTCCGTCCATGACAAATTTCAGCACCTGCTCGTTGGACAGGCCTTGGTAAGGCTGCTCCGCCAGGCTGGTGATTTCCCAGAGGACCACGCCAAAGGACCTGTCGATGGCAGAGTAATTAACAGAGAGCCAGTAAAACGTACAGTCACACACACATATACACACTTCCCAATGCTGTTGCAAACACACATCTAATATGTACACACATCTCTATTCTGGATTTCTAGAACCTGGCAGGCCAATAAATAAGCCGATTCCCATTGCAATTGTGACTCATAACTCCCTGTAAGGTTACCCTCAATCAGCACACAAGGATAACCTGGCAAAGGGCCTCAGACAAATCACCCTTCACTTGCTGGAAGAGGAAACATGAACAAGACAGGCTTCCCTCGCTGGCCCCTGCTGCTCGCACTGGCAAGTCACCCAGCGTTCAAGCCCAGCACACCTGCCCACCGACCCACACGCCACTCACCACATGTCTGAAGAAGTGGTGAAGACTCCATCCTTGAGGGACTCGGGCGCCATCCACCGCACAGGCAGCAGGCCTTTGCCTCCCTTCCTGTAGTAATCTGTCTCGTAGATGTCTCTCGTCATCCCAAAGTCTGAAAATAAACAGTCCTCACACTCCCACCCTTCAGCTGACACCCCAGCATCTGCATCTCGGCTGCCCCGCCCCCACAGAGCTCTTCAAGGGGCTCATCCACCCCTTGGGTGAGCACTCGGTGATGCCCAAAATGGGGAAGCGTAGAGAGGAAGTGGGTCAGCATTTCAAGGGAGGGAAAAGGAGACACCAAGTGATAAGAAGTGACCTTCCGGCCCACGCCTGGGATTCCATTCTCGCTGGCGCATTCGTCCTGTCTGTACCCTCACAGGCATCTCAAACTGATCTCTGGACTTCCACTTCCCCACTGAGCAGAGCCCTGCCGTCCGGCCAGCTGTCCCACTTGACAGCTCCAGGCTGGCCGCGGATAACACTCTTTCCTCCCATCCCATATCCATGACAGAGGCTGAGCCAACCCATGCCCCCCTACATCCCTCCAATCCACCCATTACCCTGGCTCTGCCCTCTGCCCGCTGGGGGCCCATCTGTTCCACTTGATGATGGCCTATGGACCAAGAGAGCCGACACAGGTAGGTTCCCATCCCTTCCTGTGACCACTGCTGATGTAGGAGAATATTCCTCAAGATCATAACAAGGATTGTGTCCTTTTCTGCTTACCAGTGGCTTTGCAGGCTAAGAGCAAGATGACTTCCCCCAATTGGAAGAACCTTGTAAGTCCAGCTTCTGCCTCTCAGCTCAACTTCACACCTCATGCTGCTCGGGTCCGGCCATTCTCATTTTATTCACATCCTGTCAGTGTCCCTGTTACTTCCCCTAGAGACCCTCCACATCCTGCCAATCATGGCTGACACAGGGCCTTCTAGAGATGGCATTTCGTCTCCCTACATGAAACTATGTATTTTCTTCACCACTGTGTACCCAGTCTTCCTTATCTTGCTTGCATAAATGTGAGCTACTTCTTTCCTTGTCTGAAGCAGCCCAGCCCAGTAGAACTCCCTGCGGCCACCGCTATCACCTACTTTTGCAGTATCCAACATGGTGGCCAATTGTCTCTGGAGACAATGGAACACCTGACTTGTGGCTAGTGCTCTCCAGCACTGAAGGTTGGCTTTAATTTAAATTCATTTAAATGTAAATGGCCACAACCAACAGGACCATTCTGTGGCAGAAGATGCAGATGAAAACCACCTGCTTCACAAGGGCAGAAAATCATGGTGATTGCATCTCCTGTGCTGACCGCTTTGGCTGGTACCTACCAGGTACACCCACGTTTTCTATAGCTGTGAGTTCAACAAGTGCAACTGAATTACAGCAGGAAACCTGGGCCCCCACCCCAATTCTGTCCCCTGACACCCTCAGAAGGCATTCTGCTACCGAACCTCATCTGTTAATACATTTCAAAGCAGAAAGAAAGCTTCCCAAGACAAACCTCCAATCTTGACAGTAAAATCATGGGCGACCATGCAGTTCCGAGCTGCCAAGTCCCGGTGTACAAACTTCTTGGCGTTCAGGTACGCCATCCCATCGGCAATTTCTGCCGCCATCTGAATCATCTCTTGCAGGGAAGGGGGTGGACGCCCGGGGTTATTCTAGAGTCAGAACACAGGGCAGCATTCAGCAACGCTGGTACCCACAGCAGGGGAGCAGGTACCTGACCAGGGACCTAGAAGCAGCTCACCTCAGACTCTGGCCGCAAGGAGCGGAGGTAGCTCTTCAGGTCTCCATGGGCCATCAGCTCCATGACCACCAGCGTCGGCTGGCCCTTGGACACCACCCCCAAGAGGCGGACCTGCAGAGTAACACAGGTTCCTGGGGTGAGGATCTGAGGGAGACTGAAATCCCTGCTTCTCTGGCTGGTGCCCAAGACACATACATGCACACCCTAGTCCCTGGATGGAGCAGGTCAGCCTGAGTGAGGTGGGGGGCAGGCCTGTTACATAGAGCAACATTCCACAGAATCCCACCCCGGGTCTCTCTGACATACGCTCCTTAGTTGTTCTGCATTACTGTTCCCTCTGTCCAACTGTCTCCCCGTGATCACAGAGCTTAGGCCTTAGCATGTTTTAAGTCTTTGCTCAAATATACACAACCATTCCCTCTTCTTCCTTTGCCCATTTGCCTGTCTGTTTTTGTGAGATAAGTTCTCACTCTGTACTCCAGTCAGCCTTGAACTCAAGATCCTTCTAGCTTGACTTCCTGAATGTTAACATTACGAGCATGGCCGGGCAAGATGGCCTGTGATCCCAGCACTCAAGAGGCTAAGGCAGGAGGATCGAAGGAAAAAACAATTACAAGTGTGCAAAATGACGCCTCGCTCTTTTTGTGCTTTTCTATCGCACCCCTACCATGTAAGGAGCACACTGAGTTTGGGACCTGTCTCCACCATCTGATGCTCACAAGGGTGCACCCTCTACTGCATGATGAACAAGAAAGCAGCTTACGTGCACTTATAAGTGTATATGGTAAGAATGAAAGGAAGGAGGCCCACAGACAAACCAATGGGCACGTGGGATCATAAAGGAATGGCGGGTATGTGTTTTCTCCAAAAAGTGGTAAGAATGAGGGCAGCTAAAAAGGGGTGGATCGCAGAACAGTTAAGGTTACAAAGGAGCCAAGAAGTGGAAAAAGACAGAAGATTCCAGAAAGCAAAGGTGGACTCTGGAAAGCAATGAAAAATTTTGGAAAGTGAAGAAAAATTCTAGAAACCCATAAAAGATTCTAGAAACCAAGAGACCTATTTAAGAAAGTGATAGAAAGTTCTGGAAAGGGATGAGAGATTGGTGGTTTGGTTCCAGGTGAGGTGGGAGAGGGTGGAAGGGAAGGACTCCTCCCAAAATTGTTGGGATGGGAGGTATGACCAGGTGGGGAGTGGACAGGAGTCTGAACGCAGTGTCTTCCTTCAGTGGCTCAGTCGTGTGGTAGGAAGAGGTTCAGTGGCAAAGGAACATGAGAGGAAGCCTCTGCCCCACCCAGCTGGACTCACCACGTGATGACATGTGAAGCCCTTCATGACTGAGGCCTCGTTGAGGAACTCGATTCTCTCTCGGAGGCTGGCCGACTCGTTGACGGTCTTCACAGCCACGCGAGTCTCAGCCTCACCCTTGATGATGTCCTTGGCATTACCCTCGTACACCATGCCGAAGGAGCCCTGCCCCAGCTCTCGCAGGAGGCTGATCTTCTCCCGAGGCACCTCCCACTCGTCCGGCACATACACAGAACATGGAAATACTACTTCTCACTCATCTATGCGGCATTCTTGACCAATCCCTGAGAGGTTCCCAGCCACCTCCCACCGACAGCCTTCGCCTGAGCTCCCCAGTGTGCATCCATCCATGATCCAGAACCCGTGCTGGACCTGAGGCACATGGCAGAGGATAGGGCCTTGGAGAAGGGGACAGAGCCTAGGAAAGCTGCTATCCCCAGCCCAGGATCCTAGGGTGTATGTGCCCCACCGGGCCTGCATTGCACCATATCTGATGTCAGACTCTTGCTACTGAGTGATACCACTTCCCATTGAAGTTATAAAGGGCAAAGATGGAAGATGGGTCGCAACTGGCTGGAAAACAAGATGGCCCCAGTACTTGGCAATCCTTCCCAGGAAGGTGCACATTCTAAAGCCCCATCCCTTGGACCTGGACGTGGCCTTGTGATACTTGTTCTGGTTAATGGGACTCAACATATCCAGCCCAGGCAGAGATTCTGGTGGGCCTGTGTCCTGGAGCTTGCCCTCACTTGCTGCGGGGAACCTCCTGCGCACACCACAGAATGACATGCAGGGTAGCCATGTCGAGGGAGTGAGGAGGCTCTGTGACCCCCCACAGGAGGCCACCTATTGGGGCCACTGATTCTGCTGGCCTGTAGACATGTAAAGGAGGCCATCCCAGGGCAGCATCCCACTAGCCAAACACATCCACACTCTAGAAGTCAAATTCCGTTTTGTTGTAAGCAAACCCTCTCATATAACAGAATGCCTTTGCCTTTTCAGAGACAGCTGTGCCTTCTCTACACAGGACATTCGCTGCCCTTTGGCAGGAATGGACAACAGGGTGCCAGGCCTATGCGCTAGCCATCAGCCTCTGGGCCACCCAAGCCTGAGCATCAGCGTCACCCTGGTCTGCCTGCTGCCAACCACAGACTGCAGTACCACATACCCCTTCCTTCTCTCAGCTCCCATTTCGGCTTCCAACGCCCACCCCCAGTGTGGATGGCAAGTTTGGACCTGGCTTTCTTGGTCTGACCCCAGCCCCTCTCTCTAGCTCTCCTCTCCCATGGCTGTGGCACAAGGGTCTCAACCTCTGCACCCTAGGGACCCAGACCGGCCATGTCAGCCCCTCCAAACAGGAGCCCAACTCCAAAACTCTGCCAGCCCCTCTTACGGGGTTCCTGCAGTAGGAGCCAGTGGGCAAGCTCAGTGGCAAGGAAGCTCTTCCTCCTTGCTGGGGTGTCAGCCAACCCTCAGCTCAACAACAGCAAGGGTGGGTACTCACCGTCGCTGGCGCTGAGGTACTCAGGGTTTGAGGAAGCATACAGCGGTCCCAACGGCCCATCTGGCTGTCTGGAGGGGGAAGAAGAGGACAGCTTGACACTCTCATGGCACTCAGTGGGCCTTCCAACTGGCCACAGTGCGAACCAGAGACGCAGATTTGCTCTGTGGTCTGTCCGGGCTGAGGGCCCAAGGCAGACACCAAGCCTTCCATGGAATAATAATAATCCTAGAGACGCCCGTCAGCGTAGGAACGCCCCCCCCCCTCCCTGCCCAGCTCTCTCCGGAGTGTACGCTTGTCTGTGTGACAGCTAATCACTGCACACTCTAGAGCCAGCTCTCCCCAAATTATACGTGTCTAGGGAAGTCGCAAGGCAGTTGTTCAATATGACCATCATTACAAATGAAATTACCCACCACAGAGGGAGGCTCACACGGGAGGGTAGTAAATGCAAAGCCAGCCTGGGCAACTTAGCAAGATCCTATCTCAAAGGAAAGTAAAAAGGTCTAGGAGTGTGTTTCAGTAGAAGAGAAGTCCTGGGTGCAATCCCTAGGACTGGCACCAAAATTATTACTATTATTATTATAGAGGCTCACAGTTCAATAAATTATACTAAGAGCAAGAGGTAATAACAATAAATAAATCCAGGGCCAAGGAGATAGCTCAGTAGAATAAGCGTTTGCCTGGCAAGCACAGGGTCCTGAGTTCAATCCCTGGTACCAAAAAAAATAAAAAAAATAAAAAAGATACATAAATTCAGCAGTGAGAGTTCAGCTCATCACTTTCTAATTACAAGACATCCGACTATGACCAGTACTCTCGAAGACAGCACATCAACTTGTGTGCTCACGCAACTGTCCCCGTGTAATGGAAGTAGCCCTTATTGGACAACCTACCTGGGTTAACTCTTCAGACTGACACAGCACGCCATTCAGACTTACAACCCGCCACATGGACGGACAGCCATTTGTGTGTGTGTGTGTGTGTGTGTGTGTGTGCGCACGTGTGTGTGTGTGTGTGTGCGCGCGCTCATGTGCACACTTATGTACAACTTGTTTATAGGGCCTTCATCTGTCTTTATTTTTATTTATTTATTTATTTACATGGGTCTCACTACACAGCTTGGACTCGGAGTGATCCTCCTATCTCAGCCTCCCCAGTGCTGGGATTACAGGTGAACATCACCACACCAGGTTTTGGTAGCTGGCACAGCGTGCCCCATTCCAGGGCCCACATGGCATGTGCTACCAGGGACGGGACCGAACCCAGGTCCCTGCGCTTGCCAGGCAGGCACTTAGACCGCTGAGCTATATCTCCCTGTCCCCCGCAACGTGTCTTTTTATACAGTACACTCTGTTTGTCTAGCACTACAACTTTGGACTGCGTTGTATAATCCTGCAGTTTTATTTTCTGTTATATCTAACAGTTCTGCATGCAAGAGTTATGCAGACAGAGTCAGCCAAATAACTCAATGGGATTAAAGCGCCTGCTTAGGCAGATGCAGTGGCAGGGGTTTGATGCCGGCCCTGCCCCCAGGGCATGCGCGCCTAAAATCCCAGCCCAGCTTGGGAGGCTGAACACAGGCGGATCACTACATGTTCAGTCTACATAGTGAGACCCTGTAGACCCTGTACTAAAATTAAAAAAAAAAAAAAAAAACAGTTACACAGACAGAAGCCGAGCCACCAAGCTGGAGTTGCCTTTGACCATTTCTTTGTTCCGAATCTCGCACATACCATACACAGTCCCTCCTCTAGCCCCTAATTCACTGAGCAGCCTGGTCGCAGGAACATAACTGGGTCACTGCATGAGGAGCGCCTGGACCAGCCGGCCGCCCCAAAACGTGCAACGGGCCTCCATCCTGACAACGCCACAGCACATCAGAATTCTTGGGTGTCGCAGAGTCAGTAAAATTCACAACAAACACAGCTCTACTGCCCCCATACCTGCGGTTGCCTCCACGGCGAGCCCACTGCTAACGCGCCCCCCCCCCACCACACACTCACCGCTTTCTGAGGAATAGATAAATGCTCCCAATCACGATGCTGAAGAGAAAGACGAAAATGAGAGGGCCGATGATCATCTTGGCAATATTCGAGGAGACATCTGCTGAAAGAGAACAGCAAAATACATGGCTCCCCTGCAAACTGTGCACCTCAAATTTCAAATTCATTTCTTTGGTTTCAGCACTGTGGACTGAACCCAGGGCCTCCACACTGAGCTACATCCCTGAGCCTTTTTATTTGTTACTTTCGGACAGGTTTTCACTAAATCACTAAGTTGCCCAGCCCAGGCTCACACCTATGATGCTCCTGCCTCAGCCTCCCAGAGTGCTGGGCTGACAGGCCTGGGCCAGCAGGTAAGACGGTGAAGGCACCTCGGGGGCCGAGAGTTAAAGGTCTGGTCCCGGCGCTGCATCATTAGGCTGTGCAGGGTCGGGGAGATGGCTCAGTGGAATAAGCGCTTCCCTGGCAAGCGCAAGGGCCTGAGTTCAATCCCTGGTTCCACAAAAAAAAAAAAAAAAAAAAAAAACAGCATTAGGCCGTGCAGGAGTCTCAGAGCCTGGTGGGAGGTCACTGGGGCTTTGGCTTGGGCTGTTGAAGGGTAGGGGACCCTGGTCTCTGTCCTCTCACACTCCTTTGCCTCCTGACCCCAAGGTGGGAGCACCTGCTCTCTCGGGGTCCCCTCCACAGTGCTCAGCACCCCCAACAGACACCCAAGCCATCCGATGGTGGAATCTCTGAGAGAGATTGAATCAAATGAGCCCTTTCTCTCTGTAAGCGAATTGCCTCAGGTACAGACACAGTAAAGCAAAGCTGACTAATACACCCGGCTGCCCAGAAAACACCAGGCTAAGCAAAGGAAGAGCACTCTCCCCCACAGACTCCCTTTAAAACTAATTAGAGAAAGGTGATCCGGAGTCTCGGGATTTTTTTTAAAAAACTTCTCAAACAAGGTCAATTCTTTGTAATTACAAACACACAGTACACTCAGACTCTTCAAAGCCGAAGGAGGGAACAGCTTCTCCAACACAGAGGAGTGAACCTCAACCTCCAGGCTCTTCCTAACAGCAGCATGCTGCCAGGTATGCTCCCCTGTGCTGCTCATTCCTGCACTCTGAGAGGCTGAGACAGGAGGATCACAAATTCCAGCCCAGGCTTACCAAGACCCAGTCTCAATCAATCAATGAATCAATGGCTAGAGTGTAGCTCTCAATGCAAAGGCCCTAGGTCGATCCCCACAGCCATGAGAACACAGAAATATCAACAACAGCAACAGTGTACTGAGCTCTTACTGAACGCTACAGCTTGAAGGGCTCCTCACAGAAGGTGTTACTCAACTGTACCAGACGAGACAGAGGCTTGCTTTAGGAGCAAGGACCTAGCCAAGTCCCAGAGCCACTCTCGAGTGGGGAGGGCAATCTAAAGCAGCCCCAGGTAACTCAGGCTGCCGAACCAGATGGAAAGGCTATGGGAAGAGCTGCACCCTCGACTGTCCAGGGGACACTGGTGGGCTGTCTGGACCCAGTGGCACAGGTACGAGTTCTGTTTCTAATAAACATGATGCACCGTTTGTTCAGTCTGAGAACACAGAGGCTGAGACCATAGTGAGCCAGGTGAACAGAGGAGAAAGCACAATGTTTCTGAGAGGCCAAACACCTCACCCGGCACTCACAGGGACCCACAGGGACACACAGGGACACATAGGGACCCAAAGGTCAAGGCTGGGGTCAGCACCCATAGCTTGCCTAAAGTCATATCTCAAATGTTCCCCCAGGCCCACATGACCAAGCAAAGACCCAAACCCTTGAGGCTGCCATGGAGACTTACAATAATTTGTCACATAGAAATAGGTGGCTTCTGTCCAGGAGCCGTTTCCGGCCAGGGAGGTGGCCCGGATCCGCACACTGTAGTTGCCCGGCTGCAGCCCGCGGAGCCTGCAGCCCCCCTCCAAGGCGTAGTGCTTCCGGGAGACGCACAGGTGCAGCTCCTAGGAGGAAGGAAAAGAAGGCACTGAGTTCTGCACATCTGGAGACATCTGTGCCAAGTGGCTGGGACACAGCTCAGACGCGGCCCGGGAGGGAAGTAGACCCAGACTCTCACTCTCACCCAGCTTGGAGACTCATGGGACATTAAAAATCACCGAGCTAAAGACGAGGAAACAGAGCCAGCCAGATAGCTCAGTGGGTTAAAGCGCCTGCGTAGGCAGAGCACAGCAGCTGGGGTTCCATCCCCAAGATGGAATTTACAGAAGATGTAGTCCCTATACTCCTCAAATTCTTCCATGAAATTGAAAAGGAAGCAATCCTCCCAAAATCATTCCTGGAGGCAAGTATTATACTGATACCAAATCCAGGGAAAGACGCAACTAAGAAAGAGAACTATAGGCCGATCTCCCTCATGAACATAGATGCCAAAATCCTCAACAAAATCCTAGCAAATAGAATACAGCAAATCATCAAGAAGATCATACACCATGACCAGGTAGGATTCATCCCAGGGAAAAAAGGATGGTTCAATATTCGAAAATCTATAAATGTAATACACTATATAAATACAGCGAAAAATAAAAACCACATGATCTCCATTGATGCAGAAAAGGCTTTTGACAAAGTCCAACACTCATTCATGTTCAAAGTGCTACAGAAAATTGGAATAGATGGCCTCTACTTCAATCTGGGAAAAGCCATTTATGAAAACCCAATGGCTAACATAATCCTAAAAGGGGAAAAACTGAAATCTTTTACTCTTAGATCTGGTACAAGACAAGGATGTCCTCTATCACCACTCCTATTCAATATAGTTCTGGTTTCATTAGCTACAGCTATTAGACAAGAGAAAGAAATAAAAGGAATAAGAATAGGCAAAGAAGAAGTTAAATTATCTCTATTTGCAGATGACATGATACTTTACTTGGAAGACCCAAAAAACTCCACCAAGAAGCTACCAGAATTAATCCAGAAATTCAGTAGCATAGCAGGTTATAAAGTCAATACCCAAAAGTCAATAGCATTCCTCTACACAGCCAACAAACACACTGAGAGGGAAATTATAGAAACAATACCATTTACAATAGCACTGAGGAAAATGAAATACCTTGGAATTCATCTAACTAAAGAAGTCAAAGATCTTTTCAAGGAAAATTACAGTACTCTTAAAAAAGAAATTGTTGAAGATTTCAGAAAATGGAAAGATATTCCATGCTCCTGGATAAGAAAAACAGTGTGAAGATGGCCATACTCCCAAAATTGCTGTACAGATTTAATGCAATCCCTATCAAACTACCACCGACATACCTCACAGACCTAGAGAAATCATTCCTAAAATTTATTTGGAACCATAAAAGACCTAGAATAGCAAAAGCAATCCTGGGCAATAAAGACACGGCGGGGGCATTACAATTCCTGACTTGAAATTATACTACAAGGCTACTGTGATAAAAATCAGCATGGTACTGGCAACAAAATAGACCTGAGGATCAATGGAATACATTAGAAGATGCTAAAGCCTCCTTGAACACACTTAGTCACCTTATCTTTGACAAAGGGGCCAAACATACTTACTAGAAGAAAGATACCCTCTTTGACAAATGGTGCTGGAAAAACTTGTTCTCTACATGCCAAAAACTAAAACTTGACCCAGGTCTATCACCATGCACTAAGCTAAAGTCAAAACAGATTAAAGATCTAAACATTAAAACAGAAACACTAAATCTCCTGGAAGAGAAAGTAGGAGGAACTCTTGAAGATATAGTAGTAGGCAAAGTGTTCATGAACAAAAATTAAATTGCATGGGTAACACTTGAAAGAATTTACAACTGGGAAAAACTCTTATTGAGAAATTTTTGCACATCAAAAGAAATGACCAACAAAGTGAAAAGACAACCCACAAATTTGGAAAAAATCTTGACTAATAAGCACTCAGACAAAGGTCTGCTCTCTAGAATTTATAAAGAACTAAAAAACATTAGGGCACCAAAATTTAAAGACTCAGTCCAGAAATGGGCATCCAAGATGAACACACACTTCTCAGAGGATGAAATTAAACAAGCAAATAAATATGTGAAAAATGCTCCACATCACTAGCTATCCGTGAAATGCACATTAAAACAACACTGAGATACCATCTCACCCCAGAAAGAATGGCTATCATAAAGAAATCAACCAACAACAAATGTTGGAGAGGCTGTAGGGAAAAAGGAACCCTTCTGCACTGCTGGTGGGAATGTAGACTGGTGCAACCATTATGGAAATCAGTGTGGAGATGCCTTAAAAAATTAGGACTGGAAATCCCATTCAAGCCAGCTATTCCCCTACTGAGAATTTTCCTGGAGGATCTGAAAACATCATCTCATAATGATACATGTGTACCTATGTTTATAGCAGCACAATTTGTGATAGCCAAATCTTGGAAACAACCAAGATACCCGTCACCTGAGGAATGGTTGAAAAAGATGTGGCATATTTATACAGTGGAGTATTACTGAGCTATAAAGAATGATAAACTCAAAGGCTTCATATGTAAGTGGATGCGATTTGAGAAAATACTCATAAGTGAAATAAACCAGACCCACATGTGTAAATACCATATAGTCTCCCTAGTATAAGAACTCAAAAGAAGAAATACAAATAGAAAGGTACAACACAATTAAAAGGAAAGCAAGTACTTGAGGACTAGACAGTGAAGGGACAGCAAGGAGAAGAGCTAGGAAACATTACAGAGGCAAAGCCATACAGTTATATGTACAAGATGGGTAAGGCGATGATCCTGAGTATCTTCAGAAGATCTTCGAATCTAGCAGTTAATTGGAAGGATTCTCACCCTGACTAACTATACATACTGACACCTGGGCACTAAGCAACTGTACTGAAAATGGCAATCTGTAATAGTAGGTTCATGAGGAACTGTCCTGCTACAATGCTGTATATGGTTAGATTTATAAACTTATGTGTAAACATATATAACTGCTTATTTCTATTTTTTAAATATATTTTAATTTTTTAAATTTTTTTCATCATACTTTGTAGGGACTAAAAGTTTAACATATCAACACTTGATGAAAAATACCTGTTCCATGTTATGCCTAAGATGTCTGATATTCAGACTGATAGTGAGGTTAAGCTCAACAGCCTAGGTTGTACGGTAATAAAAATAAGCTTCTCTTCTGGAGAGTTAACAACCTAAGTTTGCAGACCAAAAATTAGACAAAAAGGAGGGCTGCAAGGACAGCCAACATTTTGGCCCTAGCCTTTCAAGGTCAATTAAGACTCAGGACATATGAGAACCTGTACTATAGCATCATCTGACTCAGTTGTGTCCCAAATTTTCTGATCAAGGAGATTACAGGGCCAAACAGGAAAGTGATCGATGATGTAGAGTGTTCCTAAGGAGAGTCACATGGAGAGAAAACATTCTCTCAGGCTTTCAGAGGGAGCAAACTGGTTAAGCAATGGCCTTGACTCATCCACATGACTGACACTGACAAAGGATCTACAATCTGAGGTACAGGGTCTCAGGATAAATCCTGAGGGGATTTCACTGACCTTATCAGACCGAAAAGCTACGACTCTTGTTGCATAGGACTTGCTTTATCATGGTCTTAACCATCCAGCAGAAAAGTATAAAAACGAAGTATAAGAAGTAAAGCCATGTTGTTATGTTGAGCTGTAGGGGACTCAGGTCAACAATTTCTGACATTGCCAGTCATGTGGAAGACCTAATACTATTATGGGCTACTGGACTACATTGGAATATTTTGCTGAGTTCACACATCTATAATATTTAAATGACGGAACTAAACAAAAAAGGGGATACAGATGAATGTCCATTTTGTATCTGTGTATTCAAAATGGTTAGGATAGATATACAGCTACATTCTCTTAATTCAATGAACAGAGGGATTTGTTCTAATAGTGTTTGTAGAAAAGATATCATGTCTGCGTCTTGTACAGCAAATAACCACTAGGAAGACAGTATGCAATGTGTTAATTATTGAAACTGTTCTAATTTGATTTGAAACTCTCTTATTGCTATTTGCTTCTCAATAAAATTATGGAAAAAATAAATAAATTAATTAATCACGTCCAAATGTAAAATAAATAAAAATAAAAATAAATGTTTCATTACTTATTTTTTAAAAAAATAAAAATTATGAATCTGGAAAAAAAAATGATACCAAATTTGAAAACTAAACGGCAGCAATTCAACAATGGTTGTTACACTGCGCACTGTTTTCTTCAGGGTAGCTGTTCAGCCAGACGTAGCAGCACAAGCCTGTAAACCCAGCCCGCAGGAGGCTGAGGTAGGAGGATTGCTGCAAGTTCAAAACCAGCCTGGGCTACAAAGCGAGCTCAAGGAAGCTTGAACTGCATAGCGAGAACCTGTCTGAAAAAGACAAAGCAATAATACTACTAATAATTATAATAATAATAATAGCTGTTCAGATTACTAGATATAAGCAAGTAAAATTAGTCAAAAATTTTAAAAATAGACAAATCAATGCCATGAGATTTTTTTAATGTTTTAAATTTTATTTAAATCATTTATTTATCTAGTACAGGGTCTCACTATGCTAGCTTGGACTCATAGTGATCCTCCTGTCTCAGTCTCCCCGGGGGCTGGGATTACAGGCCTGCACCACCACGCCCAATCTTGGCAGCTGGCAGGCGTACCAGGATGCACAGCATGTAGCACCAGGGATCGAACCTGGGTCCTTGCACTTGCAAGGCAGGCACTTAGACCACCGAGCTATCTTCGCAGCCTACATTTCATCTTTAACTGAGGAAAACTAGGGGACACTGCAGCAGCTGCACGCACCGTGGCAACGGGAAGGGACGCAGTGCCGCACCCAGCATCTGCACGTTCAGAATGCATTCTTTTCTAACTTAATTCTCAAATATTTTTGTTTGGCAGGTGACAGCTGTGCGTATTTATGAGGCCAGGTGGCGACCCCGGGATGTGGTGCCATGTGTAACGATCAAGCTGCGGGGC